ATCTCTGCTAAGAACCTGCATTGAGAACTGGGAGATTCAATGCATGTAATGTATTCTCCTTAACAACCTTACTCTCATGCTTTCCTTTCTTTTATTAATAAACCTTTAGATTTTAGATTCTAAAGGATTGGCCCAATGTGATCTTGTGGGTAAGATCCAAAGTGTAAATTGATCAGGGATTTGTGGCTGGTTCTTTGGGACCAGAAAGACCTGTTCAGGGTAGGTGAGATTGGGTTCTATAACCTCTCACCTGTGTGTAGGCCCAGGGCTGATTGTGGCACAGGGAGAGCTGGGGTATCTGAGGGTACATCTACACTAGCTTGTTAATTCGAGGTAGGTAGGCAAATCAGGCAATCGGAGTTGCAAATGAAGCCCGCTATTTAAATATCCAGGGCTTTATTTGCATGTTCCCGTCTGGCTGCCGTTTTTAAATCCCCTTTAGTTTGAACTAACTGCCCGCGGCTACACGTGGCAGTTTAAAGTTAATCTGAACTAAATCCTTCATTCGGATTAACTGTTACTCCTCCTTCATTTGCAACTCTGGTTGCCTGATTTGCCTACCTAGCTCGAATCAACGAGCTAGTGTAGACACACCCTGAGGGGTTTTGCTCAGTGTGACCAGTTTGTGGCCTTTTTGGGAAGGTCTCTGGTCTGGGGCTGTAAAGAGCCCTTGTTCTGAGCAATTCGCTCTGAGCAGATGCCCACAGCGGTGCCCAGACCTGGCCCGGTCCGTCACAGCCATTTTCCCCACTTGCTGGGGAAAGCAAAAAACTCAGTAAAAACACTAGAACCTCCAGCAATGCTACATCTTGTGGGGAAGGGGGGGTTCTGTAAATGGCCATCGGAGTGTGGATGCGCTCTTGCGCAATAACTTTTTGTGGAAGATCTCTTCCGCAAAAAGTTCTGGCTCAAGAAGCCTGCAGTGTATATGTAGCCCCATCTGACCTCCTGTAGCACACAAGCCAGAACAAATCTTGAGTTAATTTCTGTTTGCAGAGGATCTGATCTGTTAGACAAATGCCCAGAGAATCTATCACAGCCTTTGGTAAATTATCTAGGCTCAGCCTCCATCTTTTTATACCTTTGTCCCACATAAATACCCCACAGAGGTATTTATGAGCACTCATCAAGCCTCCCCTTAACCTTCCAATAAGCTAGAGTTCGAAATAGATACACTGGAGAGTAAGGAAAGATACACTGGTTACGAGGAACAGCGAGCCGGGAAGAATCATGGGCCTATCCTGACATAGGATGTACACCAGAGACTTTAAAGATAGCAGTTTATAACATCTCTGCTAAGAACCTGCATTGAGAACTGGGAGATTCAATGCATGTAATGTATTCTCCTTAACAACCTTACTCTCATGCTTTCCTTTCTTTTATTAATAAACCTTTAGATTTTAGATTCTAAAGGATTGGCCCAATGTGATCTTGTGGGTAAGATCCAAAGTGTAAATTGATCAGGGATTTGTGGCTGGTTCTTTGGGACCAGAAAGACCTGTTCAGGGTAGGTGAGATTGGGTTCTATAACCTCTCACCTGTGTGTAGGCCCAGGGCTGATTGTGGCACAGGGAGAGCTGGGGTATCTGAGGGTACATCTACACTAGCTTGTTAATTCGAGGTAGGTAGGCAAATCAGGCAATCGGAGTTGCAAATGAAGCCCGCTATTTAAATATCCAGGGCTTTATTTGCATGTTCCCGTCTGGCTGCCGTTTTTAAATCCCCTTTAGTTTGAACTAACTGCCCGCGGCTACACGTGGCAGTTTAAAGTTAATCTGAACTAAATCCTTCATTCGGATTAACTGTTACTCCTCCTTCATTTGCAACTCTGGTTGCCTGATTTGCCTACCTAGCTCGAATCAACGAGCTAGTGTAGACACACCCTGAGGGGTTTTGCTCAGTGTGACCAGTTTGTGGCCTTTTTGGGAAGGTCTCTGGTCTGGGGCTGTAAAGAGCCCTTGTTCTGAGCAATTCGCTCTGAGCAGATGCCCACAGCGGTGCCCAGACCTGGCCCGGTCCGTCACAGCCATTTTCCCCACTTGCTGGGGAAAGCAAAAAACTCAGTAAAAACACTAGAACCTCCAGCAATGCTACATCTTGTGGGGAAGGGGGGGTTCTGTAAATGGCCATCGGAGTGTGGATGCGCTCTTGCGCAATAACTTTTTGTGGAAGATCTCTTCCGCAAAAAGTTCTGGCTCAAGAAGCCTGCAGTGTATATGTAGCCCCATCTGACCTCCTGTAGCACACAAGCCAGAACAAATCTTGAGTTAATTTCTGTTTGCAGAGGATCTGATCTGTTAGACAAATGCCCAGAGAATCTATCACAGCCTTTGGTAAATTATCTAGGCTCAGCCTCCATCTTTTTATACCTTTGTCCCACATAAATACCCCACAGAGGTATTTATGAGCACTCATCAAGCCTCCCCTTAACCTTCCAATAAGCTAGAGTTCGAAATAGATACACTGGAGAGTAAGGAAAGATACACTGGAGAGTGACCTAGACAATTTGGAGGATTAGGTCTGATGAGGTTCAACAAGGACAATGGCAGAGTCCTGCATTTGGGACAGAAGAACCCTAAGCACTGCTATAGACTGGGAACTGACTGGCTAAGCAGCAACACTGCAGAAAAGGGCCTGGGGATTACAATAGACAAAAAGCTGGATGGGAGTCAACAGTGTGCCCTTGGAGCCAAGAAGGCTAATGGCATATTAGGGTGCATTAGTAGGAGCATGGCCAAAAGATTTAGGGCAGTGACTGTTTCCTTCTATTTGGCATGGTGAGGCCACATCTGGAATACTGTGTCTAATTCTGAGGCCCCCATTAAAGGAAGGATGTGGATGCATTGGAGAGAATCCAGCAGAGGGCAACAAAAATGTTGAAGATGCTGGGGCACTTGACTTATGAGGACAGGCTGTGGAATTTGGGCTTATTTAGTCTGAAGAAGAGAGGAGTGTGGGGGGACTTGATAGCAGCCTTCAACTTCCTGAAGTTCCAAAGAGGGTGGAAAGAGGCTGTTCTCAGTGGCGACAGATGACAGAATGAGGAGCAATGTCTCAAGTTGCAGTAGGGAAGGTCTAGGTTGGATATTAGGAAAAACTATTTCCCTAGGAGGGTAGGGAAGTCCTGGGATGGGTTCCCTAGGAAGGGGGTGGAATCTCTATCCTTAGAGGTTTTTAAATCCTGGCTTGACAAAGCCCTGGTCCCAGATGATTTAGCTGGGAATGGTCCTGCTTGTAGCTGCAGGTTGGACTCAATGACCTCCTGAGGTCTCTTCCCACACTATGATACTATGATTCTATATCTGAAGGGGCATTCCAAAGTGGATTGAACTAGACTGTTCTCAGTGGTGACAAAAGACAGAGCAAGGAAAAGTGGCCTCAAGCTGCAGAGAGAGAGGTTTATGCTGAATACTAGGAGGGTGGTGAAACACTGGGATTGGGTTCCCTAGGGAGATGGTGAAATCTCCACCCTTAGAGGTTTATAAGTCCTGGCTGGGATGATTTAATCGGGGTTGGTTCTGCCTTGAGCAGAGAGCTGGACTAGATGACTCCTGAGGTGTCTACCAGCCCTACGATTCTATGATTCACTTTTTGGGTACAGCACTGCCATGGAAACTCACGTTCAGCTGATTAGTCACCACGATTTCTAAGTTTCTTTTTAGATTCATTACTTCCCAGGATAGAATCCCTCCCTCTAGAAGTATGGCTGACATTCATTGCTCCTAAAGGCATAATTTTACATTTGGCCATGTTAAAATGTACACTGCTGACTTGCATCCAACTTACCAAGTGGTCCAATTCATTCTGCACAGGACTTAGTTTGTAATGAAAGAGGTGCTGGGGCTCAAACAAATGTTTACATTCAACTGATGCAGGAAACCCAGAAGTGCTGGGGCAATGAGTTGCCAAGCATAGAGGTGCCAGGGCTCAGCCCTGGTAAGTCCTGGCACCAGTGAAACACTGATTCTGTATCATTGATCAGCACACCTCATTATTTCCACCCCACACACTAGGGACACATCACTCAGTGCTGATTCCATGTCTACAATTATGTCTTAAGACTTCTCACTTAGCCCCATTTTAATCCATTAATGTGTGCAGATTCATTTTGTATCAGTCAAGAGCTGATTCTAAATCTTGTGCGGCACTAAGTCAAATACCTTCCAGAACTCTACGTAAATACAATCAATAGCGCAAGTTGAAAGTCCCTGACCCGGCACCCTCGGAACTAATCAATCCTGAGCCAGGGAATTTGCCAGGCCAGGGGAGGTCAATGCCCACCCCTCTCCTGCTGCTGGTTGCTGGACTTTGCTCCGGAGGCACCACTGATGGAGCAGGGTTGGGGAAGGGGCACTACAGAGCTCTGCTGCCACTGTGTTGTGTTCCCAGCCCCCAGCCACAAGGCTCTAACACCTCTTCTCCTCCCTTCCCTTCCCTTCCCTTCCTGAGCTCGAACATCCAAAGGCATTATTTGCAGCATTCTGGAAGCGCTTGGGAGGGGAGGAGTTGCTTTTCCCCATGAGCTCTCAGCCCTCAGCACCCACAGATGCCAAAACAGTGTTGCTTCCCATTACTTATGTTAATCCCCTTTGAACATGTATTTCAGTCATGTACTAGCCAGTCCCTTATTTTGCCCAGAATCAATGTCAAGGTAACAGACCTACAATTACCTGAGTTATTCTGTTTCTCTCTTTTAAATAAAGGCACAACATTAGCTTTCTTTGAGAAAGAGAAGATATCTTCTCTATGTCACATGCCAAAAAAAACCCTCACAACAGCAAATCCCTGAGCCCAGGTCAACTAGCTCAAGCCAATAGGACTTGCACTGTGGGGCTTAGAATAGCAGTGAAGACATCCCTGCTAGAGGGTTGGAACCTGGACTCTGAAACCCTCCCCCGGGCTGTAAGGCTCACTCTTGTTGGGTTTCTTTTGCCATGCAGGCACACTCCTAAAGCAACACAGTGCTGGGAGAGGACAGATAAGGCCACGGAAACAGGTGCTCAGACAAAAGAAGGGACCATGAAGAGATAACACACACACCTCGGTGGGCTGATGTCAGAGGTCCAGGCATTTCCGAATTCTGCATCATCCCGGGCTCTCTCTCCACTGGGCAGGACTTTATCATCCCTGCGGACGCCATTGAAGTTCCCACACATTCCACACAGCTGTTCTCGATACTCTGGGCCCACGCGGACAAACAAGGCATGGCGGCCATTAAACTGGATCTCCACGTTGGCGTCTGCTCTCAGAATCACCATGTTCCTCACCCTGGTGAGATTGGCCACATGACCCAGCTGGGCTGGTATGAGGGTCTTTGTCCCATTAACCTGAAACAGGAAGGGAGGTGATCTGGAAGGGGGAGTACCTCCTGGGGAGGTAATAAAAACTATTCCCAAGGGTTACAGAGGGGCATTTCCACTGCAGCATTCCAGCGCTAAACCCACATGGAAGCTGCTGTGATGTCTGAGGAGACAAATCTATAACCTAGAGCTCCCCAAAGGACACAAGAAGAGGAGCACAGCACAGTTTGTGCACTGCATCTGTTTCCAGGACTGTAATCTCACAGTCCGAGCCCCACACTGGGCTAGCGAGTGTACAGTGGAAGCAACTCAGTCGGGGGCAGGGGAAGCAACGTCCCCTCAGTCTATCCCTGGCATCTCTCTGTGCAGTGTAGCTCGTCGTGCCATTGTGCTGGGTGCAATGCCCATGCAACACACACGTGCCTCAACCCATTTGTCTGCCCCACCCTCCCACCATGCTGAATCCCTCCTCCTTGCAGACAGCACACACGGGGGAGCATAGGGCCGCCTCATGCTTTATAATTTATCAGAATTAAATGATGGCTCCAGAGGGACTGAGACTAACAAGGAGCAGGAGCCAAAGGCTGACAAGACTGGAGGAGACAGGTCGGTCCCAGCACATAGTTCGAGGGAGAGATGCTCCCAGGACAATTCCAACTGAAGTTCTGCTTCTCCTTGGACAAACGACCTTAACAAACACCACTCCCACCCTCTGCCTTGTAGTAGGGGAGGCACTAAAGGGGCTGGCCGCTATGGGGCTGGTGTGAGAGCTGGGTGGGCAGGGTTCAAGTTCTCTGACTGCCACAAGCTGTGTGACCTTGGGCAAGTCCGTTAAGACCAGATTTCCAGCAAGTGCATCAGCTCTAAAGAAGCAGAGAAACACTGCTGGGGTTTTCAGAAGCACCATGGTGTTTTTGATTAAAAACACTACTAGCATCCTTAGCCAACCTCAATATCTTGAAAATCCAGCCCTTGGTCTCTCTAGTGCTGATGCTGAAAGGCATGTATTGTGTCTAACTCTCACAGAGATCACAGAGGAGCTGGAAATATGTGCCTTGGTTTCCCCATGTGTGAAATGGGAATAATAGCACTGCCTTGCCTCAAAGGAGGCTTGGGAAGATAAAGGATTTCAAGAAGGTGAGGTGCTTGGATGCTATGGTGATGGGAGCCTGTGAGAGATGATAGTTGTGTCTGTTTCTTCTTTGTCCTTTCTACAAACAAAGGGTCAAATAACTCAGCTCACCAGTACATCTTTGCCTCGCTCGAGAACAACATGGGAATTAAAATCACCAGTTTTGAGCCAAAGTTCTACTCGGTAAATGAAGGAGACCCAGGGATTCCGGAAATTCCTGTTCGCAGCCACCACGCGGAAGGAGAAGTCGAGGGAGGAGTTGCAGGTGTGGGAGATCTCGTAGGCGCACGTGCCCTGGAAATGTGCCACAGCCCCATCGAAAGTGAAGTAGTGAGGGTCCCCTGTCACCGTGCAGGTTGTCAGCTGGCTCTGACAGCCCAGCTTCCCATCCTTCACAGCACATCGCTGGCCAGGGTTGCAGCTGGCTGGGACACACCGGAAAGTGGAAGAGGAGTCACAGCTGCACCTTTGGGTGCAATCAGCGAGCCAGAGAAAATCCCCAACCTGGCATAAAGAGAGTGAGAGGAGGACATGGCCATTGTCATCCTCCCAAAATGTCACAAAAACAAACCACAGGAGCACATGGGATAGGAGACAACACAAAAGGGAACAGGAGACAGGACTCATTAACTCTGGGCCCGGGCTCTGAGACTTGAAAGCATCTGCAGGGAGGAAGGCACTTAAGCAAACAGAGCTGTCTGATTGTTTCTTAAGTGTTCTCTGGCCTGTCTCTACTTGTTGACTCTTGTCCTAGGGCTGGAAGAGACCTCAGGAGGCATCAAGTCCAGCCCCCTGCTCTAGGCAGGACCGACCCCAACTAAATCAACCCAGCCAGGGCTTTGTCAAGCCAGGACTTAAAAACCTCTTGGGATGGACATTCCACCCCCTCCCTAGGGAACCCATCCCAGTGATCCAGGCTCCAGGCTCACCTCGGCGGCCTTGCTGTCCCCTAGGACAATGTGAACATTGAGATCCCTTCTTCTCAGCCAGACATCCACCCGGGACACGAAGGAGACCTGGCGATTGCTGCGGTGCCTGTTCTCAGCCACCACGCGGAAGGAGAAGTCGAGGGAGGAGTTGCAGGTGTGGGAGATCTCGTAGGCGCACGTGCCCTGGAAATGTGCCACAGCCCCATCAAAAGTGAAGTAGTGAGGGTCCCCTGTCACCGTGCAGGTTGTCAGCTGGCTCTGACAGCCCAGCTTCCCATCCTTCACAGCACATCGCTGGCCAGGGTTGCAGCTGGCTGGGACACACCGGAAAGTGGAAGAGGAGTCACAGCTGCACCTTTGGGTGCAATCAGCGAGCCAGAGAAAATCTCCAACCTGGCATAAAGAGAGAGATTGAAAAAGGAGAAGAAGAAATGTCCTTTGACATAATCAAAACATTGTACTAACAAATGCATTACGAAAATCTGAGAAATGAGACACAAACTAGAAACTAGAATTTCATTAAGATTCATTTTATATTTATTCTGACCAACAGGGAGGAATTGGTAGCAAATGTGAAAGAAGGAAATTTGACTTAAAGTGACCATAAAATCATGATAGATTTCATGCTCCTAAAGCAATGGTTTCAAATTGTGGTCCAACGCCCACTAAAGCTCCGCGACCATCTAGCAGGTGGGCTGCAGATTTGGGACCCACTCCCCCCACAGTGGGGAGCCTGGGCTTCTGCCCTGCACACACCCCTGGTGGGTTGGCGCACCAGCACTGACTTCCTGCTGCAGACCAGGGAGCCTCGCAAGCCAGATCCAGCTTGATGGCAAGGAAGTGGCTCCACACACTTCTGCTGCTCCTTCCACAACTGGAGGAATGGCAGCGCAGGAAACAACTCACTTGGAGGTTTTCTCTGCTGTTCCTATTGGCTGGAATCATGGCAAATGGGAGCAGTGGAAGGCAGTGCCTAGGAGTGGCAGAATCTCGGAGCCAGCAACCCTGCATCCTCCTCCCCCTCACACATACTCCTCCAGCCAAGACCCTCCATCCCCGCTCCACTCCTGCAGCCAACCTTCTGGCCCGACCCCCATCCTCAGCATGCTCCTGCACTCATTTTGTTTATGAGTGAGGCTTTAGAGAGGGAGTTCTCCAGGTAGAGGAGAAGCAGATACAGGACTCTAGAGGGAAGTGTGTGTTGTGCTTGGGGCTTTCTTGCTGTGTGCTGTGCTTGTGTTTGTGAATGAGGCTTTTTTTTCCCCTGTGTTTGAAAGTGAGGCTTTTTTTTCTCCACTTCCCCTTTTCCCTCCCCCTCTCCTTCATGGAGTATGTGCTGTGACTGGCAGGTGGAAACAGTTGGCTTCCAATTAAAGTTTGCATTCTAGAAGCCTCTGCTGATTGGCTGAGCCATGGTAGGGGGAGGGACTTTCAGGCACTCCAGGGCTTTATTAAGCAGTGAGCAAGTGACCAAGGAGCTTGCGAACAGGTGAGTGCTAACAGGGAGCTTAGAGAGGGCGTTGGGAAGGGAAAGGGGAAAGGGAAAGGGATGAGGTTCTCTTGCCTTTCTTTTTAAATCCTTTCTCCAGGACAGCAGCAATGGATGGTGATGGGTCTGCTGCTGTTACCTGCACAGCATGTGCCATGTTTGTCTTCCTCCCGGAAGAAAGAACAGATTTCATCTGCACTAAGTGCAAGCTGGTCACCATTTTGGAAGAAAAAATTAGAGGACTGGAGACTCAAGTGTTGACCCTCTGCTCGATCAGAGAGGATGAATATTTCCCGATAGAAGGCAGCGTTTAATCCTGCAAGCACTGCAGGCGGAAGAGCCAGAGAGGGCAGTACAGGACCAGGAAGAGAACTGGCAGCATGTAACTTCTAGAAGGGGGAAAAGGCTATAGAGATAAGTAATCACTTTCAGGCTCTCTCCGCAGGCTCTGCAGTGGTGAATGTTTTGGAAGGGACCTCACAAGGAAGAAACCGCAAGGGAACACCATCTACTGGAAGACATGGGATGCGTAGTCCTAGGGATGGGTGTTCCACGACTCCCTCCCCCCCCAAGAAAACGACAGGTGGTAGTGGTCGGGCACTCCTTCCTAAGAGGGACTGAGCCATCCATCTGCCGTCTGGACCTGGAATCTCAAGAGGTATGTTGCTTACTGGGAGTTTGAATTCAGAATGTGACTGAGAGGCTTACCAAACTGATCAAATCTTTGGATCGCTACCCCTTCCTGCAACATACCTGTTCCGGGCACAAGGATTGTTAGAAAGAGATGGGATCCACATAATCAAGAGAGGAAGGAGCATCTTCGCAGGCAGGCTTGCAAACAGAGTCCCATGGTAGAAGAAACCAAAGCCCTCTTTGTGACACCACTGCGCAACCACACATTTAGTTCCTCAATTCGATGATCCCTGCCCAGTCCTTTCCCTTCAACAGGGAGGATGGACGAGAACACCACTTACGCTCTGAATTCTTGGATCCTTCTTCCCAGCGCTACATAATCCGCAGTAACCCGCTCAAGGTCATTCTTGGCTGTATAGTTAGTTCCCATGTGGAGAAGCAGGAAGGGGTAGCGATCCAAAGATTTGATCAGTTTGGTAAGCCTCTCAGTCACATTCTGAATTCAAACTCCCAGTAAGCAACATACCTCTTGAGATTCCAGGTCCAGACGGCAGATGGATGGCTCAGTCCCTCTTAGGAAGGAGTGCCCGACCACGTGTTTGTACACTAATGCAAGAAGCCTGGGCAACAAACAGGAAGACCTGGAGGCCGAGGCCCTGGCCCAGTCCAAGAAACATGATTTAATTGGGATAACAGAGACTTGGTGGGGTGACTCGCATGACTGGAGTGCTATCATGGAAGGGTATAGACGGATTGCTCTGAATTCCAGTATATAGAGGGAGAAAAACCTGTTGAGAGCCTATGGGCTAAGTTTAGAGGTGCAAACAACAGCAGTGATGTTGTGGTTGGTGTCTACTAGAGGCCACCAAATCAGGTGGATGAGGTAGATGAGGCCTTGTGACGGCGCGTTGGGGGTCCCCCGTCTCCTGCATCCCGAAATGGCACAAACAGACTGCACCAGCCGGTGGAATAGAGGAAGTTTATTGCCTCTCCAGGATACAGCACAGATGTAATCTGGTCACAGAGCTGGGCTAGGCTGCCTCAGGCCCCCTTGAGATGGGGGAGACTGGGTCCCTAAACTCCAGCCCCTTTCCATAGGCTGTCTCCTCTATGCTCCCAGACAGCAACTAACCAACACTCTTCCGGCCCTCCCCCCCCAGCCAGGGCAGCATTCCACCTTCCTTTGTTCCTCTCCATGGGGGGTGTCTGGCCATACTGGTTGAGAGATCCCTTTGGATAGTGACTCATCCTGTTTTGCTGGGTCATGGTACCCACGGCAGCAGTGGGGGTTACCCCAGAGCCAGCAGCATAGAAACCGAGCCAGGTTCCCTCACTACGTCACAGGCCTTCTTTGTTCAACTGAGAGAAGTTCCCAGATTGCAGGCCCTGGTTCTCATGGGGGACTTTACTCACCCTCACATCTGTTGGGAAACCAATACGTCAGTACACAGGCAATCCAGGAAGTTTTTGGAGAATGTTGGAGATAACTTCTTGGTACAAGTGCTGAAGGATCTGACCAGGGGCTCTGCACAGCTTGACCTTCTGCTCACAAACAGGGAGGAACTAATCGGTCAAGTAGAGGTGGGTGACAACCTGGGAAGCAGTGATCATGAGATGGTAGATTTCAGGATCCTGACCAAAGGAAGAAAAGAGAGTAGTAAAATACATACCTTGGACTTCAGAAGAGCAGATTTTGACTCCCTGAGAGACCTGATGGGCAGAATCCCTTGGGATGCTAACATGAAGGGGAAAGGAGTCCAGGAGAGCTGGCAGTATTTTAAAGAAGCCTTATTGAAGGCACAGAAAGAAAACATCCCGACGCGTAGCAAGAAAGGCAAACATGGTAAAAGATCAGATTGGCTTACAGGGGAAATCCTTGGTGAATTTAAGCACAAAAAGGAAGCTTACAAAAAGTGGAAATTTGGACAAATGACCAGGGAGGGGTTATGAAGAAGGCGAAAGCGTAATTGGAATAGCGACTGGCTAAGGATGTGAAGGATAACAAGAAAGGTTTCTACAAGCATGTTAACAAGAAGAAGGTGATCAGAGAGGGCATGGGGCCCCTACTGGATGAAGGAGGTAACCTAGTGACAGATGATGTGGGGAAAGCTGAAGTACTCAATACTTTCTTTGACTCTGTATTCAAGGACAAGGTAGCCTCCCGGACTAATGCGCTAAGTGACGCAAGATGAGATGAAGATGGACAGCCCGTGGTGGGTAAAGAACAGGTTAGGAACTATTTAGAAAAGCTAAACGTACACAAATCCATGGGTGTGAACTTAATGCATCTGAGGGTACTGAGGGAGTTGGCAAATGTCATTGAGGAGCCTTTGGCCATTATCTCTGAAAAGTCGTGAAGATTGGGAGAGATCCTGGATGATTGGAAAAAGGCAAATGTAGTGCCCATCTTCAAAAAGGGGAAGAAGGACGATCCGTCTTACCTCGGTTCCTGGAAAAATCATGGAAGGGATCCTTAAGGAATCCATTTTGAGGCACTTGGAAGAGAGGAAAGTGATTAGGAATAGTCAGCATGGATTCACAAAGGGCAAGTCGTGCCTGACCAATCTGATTAGCTTCTATGATGAGGTAACTGGCTCTGTGGACATGGGAAAGTCAGTGGATGTGATATACCTTGACTTTAGCAAGGCTTTTGATATGGTCCCCCACAATATTCTTGCCAGCAATTTAAGGGAATGTGGATTGGATAAATGGACGGTAAGATGGATAGAAAGCTGGCTAGAAGGCCGGGCCCAACGGGTAGTGTTCAACGGCTCGATGTCAGGATGGCGGTTGGTTTCTAGTGGAGTGCCCCAAGGTTCAGTTCTAGGACCAGTTTTGTTCAATA